TGTGTTGGGTTTAGAGCATCGGGGAGGGCGCAACTCATGCAACCTTGCGGGCTAAAAATACCGTAGAGAGGGAAAGATTTAATTTTAATTTGATGTTGCACAGATAGAATCAGTAGGTTTTAAATTCATCAATTTGTGAAAGAAACAATACATTAATAGATTGTTAACTTTCCATATTCACTGGGGTTTAATGTAGCGCATGTAGCTATCAGCAAAATAAAAACCAGTAAATAATTAAGCCCTATACAGTAAATCAATTTATTGACACAGACAGATACATGTAGAACTACAACTAAAATACTATCAGCCACTTTTGAAATGAATCTTTAAAACAAATAAAATCTATACATGCATGTAAGCCAGGATAAATATGTAAGACGTAAACCTTACAGCGACATCAAAGGCTTTGATGCACAAAAAGTTTGTTTCACTGGCTCTATGTTATTCCTATATGACATTGCAATTTTATCAAATTTAGCCCTGAAACTGGGAGCTCAACTTTGGAATTCTAAATATGACCATCAATCTGCCCACATTGAATCAAATCAATCTGCCATATTGGATCAAATCAATCAGCAATATCGGAACAAATCAATCTGCCATATTGGATTAAATCAATCAGTCTCATTTGAACAAATCAATCAGTTCCATTGGAACAAATCAATCAGCCATATTGAATCAAATCCAATTTTGAGGTTTGCATTGCCAATAGTAAACTAACCTGATAGTACCATCTTCAGCAGCACTCCAGAACATATAAGGCATATGAGGTGCAACAGCTAGTCTTTTTACCCTACCAGCATGACAGCTGAATGCCTGGGTTGTCTCACGGACATTAACATCATGTACACGCACTTTGCAATCAGCAGCACCTGTTGCTATGATACGATCATTTGTATCAGGTAAAAACTGTGAGAGAAAAGTAAGATCAAAGAAAGCTTAGAAAGAACTCCCATGTGCTGAGAGTATTGGAGACACATTAAATATAATTCGAAATTACTTAGCTGAAAACTAATTATGCAAATCAGAAAATTAATATGACCAGATTTGAGTGTAAAACTAATGAGTTCTGCGCAATGTAACAGAAAATCTATGTCTCCAAGTTTAATTGAAATGTGATTAGAACCAAAAAATTATGAATTATTATGCTTATTAGGGAATTAATATGAACAGATTTTTACCCAAAACTAATTAGGTTTGTACATTGTCCTAGAGCATCTTTATACTAAGTTTCATTGAAATGGAATAATTAGTACCGTGAAAACTCCAAAATTTCGACCCCTCTAAAAATTCGGCCGCCTATTTATTTGCCGGTTTCTGTGTTTTATTACCTACAAATTTTCGACTCCACTAAAAATTGCCGACTCATTCTTATTCGAAAATTGCGACCAGTTTTAGTTTTCCC